ACGTGAATCCCTCGAGCAACAATACCTATCGTTGTATTGTTATATTATTGTCTTTCCTCATTCCAGGCTTTGTAATTGATTGTATTTGTTTTTCTCACGTTTTCAAGCTCGTATGTCATTATATCATAATAATGAATTCATACGTCATATAATACGATTCGAAAACCGCGTTCAAACCACGGTAGGAAGTCACACTATAATATATCATTACAACAGATATCGCATTCCGATTGAATATTCTCTTGTACCTGCAACAGTTCAACTAAAATATGTTTCACGGTTTAGTCAACCAGAGTGACCAGATTATTATTATTAGTGTAAACTATAATATAATAATACACGTATATAATAATGATTTGAACGAATTTATTATTAATTATGGTAACCTGAAACAGTTTTTTTTCTTCTCCGAAGGTCTATATAATATTTCGAATATTTGGGAATGTGATACTCGTAATTTGAATTTGATGGCCAGGCACTTATTTATTAACAGACGTCGAAAGTAGATTTATACGAAAATCCAATCAGGTTGTGCGCCTATAATAATATACAATAATAGTCTTTCGCAACCTGCGACCTACAATTAAATGGACCGATTTTATAATATTATTGCCAAACAACAATAAATATTGGTATTCCAAGGCAGTGTAAATTCGACGATAATTCATTAGTTCGAGAAAATTATAATTATTATTAAAGTGTCGTCATTCGCGCAGTCATATTATACTGCTGCAGAATACAGGGCGATTCACCGAGCCACTCGCGTCTTTTTCTCCTTAAATGCAGCAGTTATTGAAAATCTGATTTTTACAATCTCAATGTGATATATTATATGTTATTATAAAGACGATTTTTTGAAATCATCAAGATTTTTTTGTAGTAGGAACTTACAGATAGCGTATAGTCCGGCTCAAGCATACTTCTGTTTTTCAAATGACTCCCACTATTTCTACTCAAAATAATTATTTGGGGGATAATTTTTCTGAAAAAATCGTCGGGGGGTGAGCATCCGTGGTAAATCGCCCTGTATATAAACTATAAAGGTTAATTGCAAATATTAGTTATTTTAGTCATCTTTTTATTTACTATTGCAATGACTACACCTAAAATTGATTTGGCGGACGCCGCGTTTTGAAACTAGGTAAATGATTTGTGTTCGCGGTTGTTGCACCACAATTACAGTACTTGAATCCTACACGAAATAACAATAAGATTTTATCGTTCGTATTATGACGTTATGTATTATTTATACGTAAAACAAGTCGTTCGCTCCGGGCTACAGCCATTATATATTATATAAATTTTAAACTCCGCCAGTGCAGCAGCAGACAATAATTATACGTTTGGATGTCGTGGAGAGAATATTATGCACCGAAGGGCGCACCGCACCAGAAGCACATTCATAGGCGTGCACAGACTTTATTCGCAGGTTATGCAATAAGGAAAACAGGGCCCCCTCACAAATTCTAATCTTTCCTTAATTTATTCTAAAAAACAACTCTATGCCGTTAAACATTTTTTTTAACACATATAGGATTCAATTTACAATCTAAGTTTTTGCAAATATACTACTTAGCTTTTTTGCTTTACTCGGAATCTGAAATCACACATAGTTTTACAGTAGAATATTAAACAATGCGCTGTAGAAATAAGTAGTTTGAAATTTGAATTATATTTATTTAAAGAAAATTTGATCAATTATATACTAGTATGAATGTTTTTGAATAATTTTAACATATTAATAATGTTGTTAATTCATGGAAAGTACTTAAAATCTAAACTCTAAAGTTCAAGTCTTCTTTTTATCGACACACATGTTTTGAATTCATCTATTACTTCTTCAATATTGATTTCTGATGCCATTTTTTGCTCGATAAATATTAACATCAGTGAATCAAGACATTCTTGTGACATAGTACCGGACTCAGTTATAATTATAATGTGGTCTTTGATTACAAACTATAAAAACAATAATAATTATTCTATTCTTACAACATAGATACCAATATCTACGTGTTACGCTCTAGTGTATTAATAGCTTAGATTATCTTGCGGGTCGCGAGAAAAGTGAAAACTAAAATTTTTATTTTTTTTTTTTTAATATAGAAGATATTATCAAAAATGCTTTGGTATATTATATATGGGCAGGGTCGGACTGTCCAATATAACCGACTAGCCATAGCCAGTAAGGCCCCCTTGTGTGTATGACTATTTGGGGCCTCATCTAATGAACGGAAAAATCATAAGTATAAATATATGAACTGTACGTTTATATAATATATTATATTTGTTTAATAATATTCAAACATAAAAAACAGTGTAGTTTAGACGGACAAAACATGTTTGTGGCGTCTCAACGTTTCTGTTATCGTCTCATCGATGCCAATTAAAAATAATAATATATATGATTGATCAATATTGGAATTTTAGAGGTATTTATTTTTAGAACTGAAAACCTATTCTTATTGCTTTGAGGAATACTTCAATCAGTAGGTATACACAATGATACGTATATTTCCTTGATTTATAAAAATATAAAAATTGTATTAAAAATGATATTGTTATTTCAATATTAATTGTTTATATTGTGTCTTAACAATTAACACAATGTGTTTGATTCTATAGGTACATACTATTCTATAAAGCCTTCTACATTTTCCTCCTTGTCTTAAATTAATAAATAACATTTTTAACAATTATCAAAATAGGAAGTTACCAAAAATTTTGATAATTTATTATAATCGATCTCTAAAATATACTATAAAATAAATTGTAAATAAATTTAACTAAAGAAAACAGTAAATAAAGATAAATATGGTGTTTTGAGTAACAATTGTAAATTATAAAGTTTATTTATGATCATTTTTTGTGAAAAAAATTTATCAAATTTACAAGAGAGTTATTATTTATCACTATTGTTGACTGTTGAGGCCCTCTCTATAAGTAAACTGCCGGTGGGGCCCTTAGTACCCAGTCCGACTCTGTATATGGGCCCCTCACATAAAGCCGCAGACTATGCAGCGGCATACCCTGCATACCCTGTGCGCACGCCTATGAGCACATTCTTTGATAATAAGTTTGTCTGTGACAATACGATATTACAACACGGTGCGTGGTATATATATTTATATATTATTTTATAAACGTGCAGCATAATCCGAAACGTTTTACGAATCAATGATTCTTTTGAACGAAAAGAAACAAAGTCCCGTCGTCTCAGCAGCACGAAAAGATTATAATATAATAATATTTCGTCGTACCCTGGGCGAGTAGACGACGACGACGACGACGATAATAATATATAGAACTCGGCTAAAGTCTCGAGCGTGAAGTTTGATCGCCGACGATGAACTCGCCTCGGACGGGAATTAATTAAGGACGACGTCGGCGGGTATAATAATTATTATTAATTGGTCGTCTTTGAAAAATATGATAATACCGTCGAGTTGCGCAAAAGTATAAATCGTACGATGTATATGTAGTATAACCGCTATCGTGTTCGCTTTAATAATATTTTTTGGAGAGATATCGCTCTAATAATTAGCAACCAGCCCTGCAATAATGTCCATGTCGACGACGTGTATTATGTGTGTCGACGAGGCACACCTGCGATATCACTACACAATATATTATTATTATAATGCGTTGCGATAAACGAGCGGGGCTCGTGTATAATATATTTTATATTTTCGTCGTCTAACATAATTCGTCATTATGATAAAACGACGATAATTAACGTGCGGTAATAACGGCAATAATTACGACGATTATTATGAAACTGGGCGTACAATTTTCATTAACAGCGTATTGCATCTCCTCCGTTACACTAATATGTTCCGATTAGCTCCGAACTCTGCTTTACTCGGACGACCCCGAACGAATAATTTCGCAACTATTTTGGGTTGTTTTTTGCAATTGTTTAGAAAGTCGAGACGATTAATTTCGAAACGACAATGATAATATTAAAACAATATTTTGTCGGACGCGGTGTGTGTGTACACGATGACCGAGGAGGTACGCGATCTCTCGATGATCTATCCGAGCACAGATGATGCGACAACGCGCAATTTCATCGATATACGATTTAAGTGACATCATCCCGTGGTATATACCGCACACATACCATAATATCGTCATCGTGTTATAATATTATGGTAATGACGGTAAACCTATATGTAATAACGGCAATAATTACGATTATTATGAAACTGGGCGTACAATTTTCATTAAGGGGCCTCGCAACGTCATTGATTTAAGGAGAATCATTTAGGCAATTTCTAATCTCGTCGTCGCCACCCGAGATCTACGTGTTAGTCGTAAATGATTATTAGTGTGTGTGGTGTCCATGCGGGTCAATTGTAGCGGTGCCGAGGGCTCTCGCACGCACTCGCACACACATGTCAATGTATAATATTGTGATCATGCAAAAATGTTTATTTTTCACTCAAACATACGATTCTAATCCCAACATTACGTCTCAACGATTACCTCGATTTTCATTCTGACAAAATATTCTTATTTTCCACAGCATGTACGAGGGATCGATCGAGGCACATTTTTAAAATTGTATTTAGTTAATTTAATATTTAAGTTGGAAATTCTGTACTTTTTTTGAATTTTTTACAATTTTTATTGCAATTTAAATTACAAAAATTAAAAATGTGGCTCGATTGTTCCCTTGTATATATATATTACGGACAATCAGAATATTTTTTTCAGAATGAAAATCATTATAATAAATTGTCGACACGTATCGTTGGAATTAGAAACAGTAGTTTTTGACAAAAAAAAAGATGTGGTAGTGAGGTCCCTTAACAGTATTGCATCTCCTCCGTTACACTGATATAATATTCCGATTAGCTCCGAAATCTGCTTTACTCGGACGACCCCGAACGAATTGCTCAACTATTTTGGGTTGTTTTTTGCAACTGTTTAGAAAGTCGAGACGACAATGATAATATTAAAACAATATTTCGTCGGACGCGGTGTGTGTGTACACGATGACCGAGGTACGCGATCTCTCGATGATCTTTCCGAGCATATATAGGTATGATGCGACAACGCGCAATTTCATCGATATACGATTTAAGTGACATCATCCCGTGGTATATACTGCACACATACCGTAATATCGTCATTATGTTATAATATTATGGTAATGACGGTGAACCTATGCAATATATCGCGTATAGATTAGGTTAGGTCGGGTTATTACACTTTGAACTCGTAATCTGCACCGCTCGACGTCATATCGATTTTTCTCGCCAGACTGCCGCGCGGGCCGGTAAAATAAAAATAATATGATACCATTATTGTTATTGTTATTATATAATGTGCATTGTACGCCTTTATACATATATATATATACTAATCGCCTTTTTTCTCTCGTTTGTTCGCAGGGCAGCAAATGCACCAGCGGCGGCGCTCCGGGACAACCTTACTACATGACCCATCAGTTCCCGCCAGGGTCTTCGGCCACCCTGCCAAACAGAGGCCGTCCACCCACCGGGTCCATACCCGCTAGGGCGTATTCGCCGGCCGTGCCGCCCGTGGTGGCCAACAAATCGTCAGGTAATCCACAGGTTATACGTAGATTTTTAGGTAGATTTCAGGAGACTGAGGAATTATTCGTCATCCGGAGCAGGACGTATTATGATTCGCGGAGTATTTCGATCGATTCGATTTTTTTGAATTTCGGACCAGTAGTTTGTTATAGTTGTGAGTGTTTCGAGCCAACTGCATTTTGCTAGAGAGATACCGCTGTTTGACGCACTCCACTCGTCTAAACTTTAATACACTTATGAGTATAGTATAGTCGTAATACTTTTAAACTATAATATGCTCGTCCAAAATTCGATTTATATTCATCGAAGTACTCCAGAAAAATATTCTGCTTTGGAGTACAATAGGAATTAAAAATTATCGTCGTCGTTAAAAAATTATAAAACAAAATATACAATTTTTAGTAAAATTATGTCTTTAACGACTTAAAATCATGTAAACAACACATTTTCAAAACAAGTTATGCAATCGTTATTCGTTTTTATATAAACAGTGCGTATTCTTAATTATTATCACCCGGAACATGATGTATAAGACCATTAAGACCTAATCATCTCTGATTCAGTGCCGAAATTATAGGTTTTGTAGGGCCCTGATGCGAAAAATGTAATGGGGCCCGTGTGGCCTGTACTTGTTACTCCAATATTATAAAAAAAAGTGTCTCAACTTACCTTTGGTAGACCCTTAATGCGAGACAACATTTATGGCCCCCAATTTTTAACATATTTTCAAGCAGTGTAGTAGTAATTTTAGTTATATTAAGTTTTAAACACATCTCCAACAATACATGAGTTGTCACTTGTCAGTAGTGAAGTATAGTCAAGTTAATTACAAAGCAATTAATACACTAAACAAAATGTAATAGGTATGTTCATTTTTCCCGATTTTAACACAATATTACATTAAAATTTAAATAACAAAAAATAAACTATCAATAAATATTATACGATTATTTTATTTTCAAAAGTTTTTCTTTCTATAATAGTCGGTAATTTATAAATTTGTCCAGATCAAAATCATTCGTCCTCGATTTTTCAATATTAAGTATACTTATACAGTTAATCTCTATTGTGATATTGAATTCCGAAGATAGTTTTCCAACAGTTTTAATTTGGAAAATTACATTTCCGTGGTGACAGTAACTGGAAGACTCCAATATATAAAACAAACAGTAAGAATTTCACTATAAAGGGATAAAAGATCATTTTCAATAACAAAAAATGTCAATTTTTGAATTGTTTGAATTGTTTCTTCTTCGAATAATATAAAAATAATATCAATCTATTATAGCAGAAGATAAATTTTCCATTTTTTTTTTTCAAACAGTAACGTATTTCATTTTTACTTTTTACGATAAGCGCCCCCTTTTAAACATAAAATCTGGACAACGAATGCATATACCTTGCGTCCCCTATTGTTGCGGCACTGCTCTGATTACCGCTTATACCCAAAAAGCGAGTACCCAACCCTTTTCCAGTGGTGGTAATCACGTAGACATTTATTTTTATTTTTTCGGCTTATATTAAAAATTGTACACTCATTACATCGTAGGTATACGCTTTCCCTTTGTTCTCATAGACGTCTATAAGGTACCTAACCGGTGGTCACGCATGTTATAATAGTATTAATACATGATGTACCTATAGGTACACACGTTTAAAACCCGATTCGTGTCGTCGTCGTCGTCGTCGTCATTAATATAATATAGAATTGCAGCAGCAGTCGTAAGCCCGTGTTTAGATTGTAAAGGGATTTTCGTCTCATTTTTTATTGTTGACGTCATTCAAAGGCGCGCCCGAGTCAAAGGACGCGACGCAAATCCCTTCGCTTCAGCTTCACCCACACCACCCCCTCTCCTCCTCCCCGCCACGCAATACGCTACCTCTGTGGTATACATATATATATATAGAATACAGGGCGTATATGATGTATAGTAAACATCGTGAACGGCAAGATCAAAAGGGGTTCGTAATGAAATTAATTCGAGGTAAGCCACTTACTTACCTTTTCATCGTTTGAATAAAAGTAAATTATTATTATTACTATTATTGTACTCGGTAGTCATTTAATTGTTTCGTTGTGTTTGTTCGAAAACGTTTAAATGTAATAGCGCTAAGAGTGTTCGTGGCGCAATGGAAACATTACACATGACGTAGGTACACGGCGAGCATACGTTTTTCGGATGTACCCCTTACCATATAATATATAGGTAGACTATACTACCCCCGAAGATTGAGATAGATTTATTCCACCACACCACCCTTAAGTGTACAATAATAATATACATTTCGTTTGAATAAATACTTTTGACTTTCGTGTATTATATCTCAGGCAGTTTGTAAAACGCGTACAATAAGTGTGCCACTGACTATTTATTGTTATAATAATATGATATGATATATATACGATAAAAATATTATATAATAAGAGATCTGTATGTGGAAATGGGCGGGGTGCCCGCAAATTTAGCAACTATATTGTAATTACATAAAAACTATCTCGTCGTCGATCATTATTCAGTGTGAGTGCTTTTGAGAGAAACCGACAGCAATTAATATCAAACCAAACTATTTCACAGGGGATGCGCTTTAGAACACATATTTTATCCGAAAACATTACACATGACGTATAGGTACACGGCGAGCATACGTTTTTCGGATGTATCCCTTACCATATAATATATAGGTAGGCTATACTACCCCCGCAGATTGAGATAGATTTATTCCACCACACCACCCTTAAGTGTACAATAATAATATACATTTCGTTTGAATAAATACTTTTGACTTTCGTGTATTATAATATCTCCGGCAGTTTGTAAAACGCGTACAATAAGTGTGCCACTGACTATTTATTGTTATAATAATATGATATTATATATATACCGTATAAATATTATATAATAAGAGATCTGTATGTGGAAATGGGCGGGGTGCCCGCAAATTTAGCAACTATATTGTAATTACATAAAAACTATCTCGTCGTCGATCATTATTCAGTGTGAGTGCTTTTGAGAGAAACCGACAGCAATTAATATCAAACCAAACTATTTCACTGGGGATGCGCTTTAGAACACATATTTTATCCGAAAACATTACACATGACGTATAGGTACACGGTGGGCATATGCGTTTTTCGGATGTATCTCTTAATATATTATATAGACATAGACGATACTACTCCCGAGATGGATTTATTCCATCCTTACGTGTACAACAATAACACATTTCGTTGGACTATACCTATACCTACCGTATGATATGGCCTGGCAGTTTTTAACAATAAATGTGCCACTGACTATATTATAAGAATAATATGATATAATATATACCGTATAAATATTATATAATAAGAGATCTGTATGTGGAAATGGGCGGGGTGCCCGCAAATTTAGCAACTATATTGTAATTACATAAAACCTATCTCGTCGTCGATCATTATTCAGTGTGAGTGCTTTTGAGAGAAACCGACAGCAATTAATATCAAACCAAACTATTTCACAGGGGATGCACTTTAGAACACATATTTTATCCGAAAACATTACACACGACTTATAGGTGCACGGTGGGCATATGCGTTTTTCGGATGTATCTCTCAATATATATATAGACGATACTACTCCCAAGATGGATTTATTCCAAACCATCCTTACGTGTACAACAATAACACATTTCGTTGGACTATAACGAAGGTAAGTTCATACCTACCGTATGATATGGCCTGTATTATAAATGTGCCACTCAGTGGCGTAGAAAGACTCGTTAGCGCCCATGGCAAACCTAGGAAAATGCTCTTTTTTAGCGATTAAAAAATTGACGAAAATACGGAATGATATTTTTTAACATTTATTTTTTATGTATATAATTAGATAATACAATATTATTTAACTATCAGTTATTATGATAATGTAAAGTTCAAACTTTAAAAATTTTCTTTTCTTGCTTTAAGGCTAGAGAACTCATTGATGATTTCGTCATATGAAATTTGTTTAGCAAATTCATGTTCTATGCATAAAATTGCCATGCTTGTTAGTCTCTCTTATCCAATAGTTGACCTTAAGTAATTTTTAATATAATATTAATATATTTATATTTATTTTTAATATATTTATAATAAGATTATTGATATATAGACGACAAATAATATAATAATATACTTTATAGACGGACCACGGGCGATCTGATAACGATAAGCTCGATCACAAACACACACACGAAACACGAATTTAAAGATAAACAAGATAAACAAAATCATACACATTTCAAAATATATAGCCGTATAGGTAATAAAGAAATGTCGTTTTGAAGGTAGAATAAAAATAAGTACCAATTTAAAAGCACAAATTTGCGCCCCTGGCGTAGGCATAGTTCGCCATACCCTTGCTACGCCACTGGTGCCACTGACTATATTATAAGAATAATATGATGTAATATATACAGTATAAATAGTGTTTAATAAGAGATATATATGTAGAAATGGGCGGGGTGCCTGCAAATTTAGCAACTATATTGTAATTACATAAAACCTATCGCGATCGTCGTTATTCGGTATGAGTGCTTTTGAGAGAAACTAAACCGACGGCAATTAATATCAAACCAAATTATTTCACTGGGGATGAGCTTTAGAACACATTTTATCTGATAAAACGCGCTTCTATAAATTGAACGTTTAACAACGTCGCCGGTTCTATTTAAATGTATTAATAAAAGTCTTATCCGCGGATAATGTTATATATTATGTATAACACCCACGGCGTTGCCGATCGTCGCTGGGGTTGTGAAATAGGGCTTTCGAAATAGGGTTGTTGAAAATAATCCCGAATAATGGTTACTGCGACGTTTAGGAAAAAAAAAACGTTTCTAAAATATACATACGTGATAGGATATATATGTGTCCGCTTTACGATCCTCGTGCACCCGAATGTAAGTCTAAACGGAAAAAAAAACACTATAAATTCAAAATTCTATATTTATTATGGTACCTAATACCTATACTATACCTGTGTGATT